AAGAAAAATGGCCCAAGACTCCAAGCTCAAGGGACCTGAGCAAGCTTTTCCAAGTCTATCTGCAAAACATCAATCCCAAGCAAGGAAAATGTGCATCTCTCCAGGTAAATTTAATGGGTTTTTTTGGATAAGGAAGAGATGCATGGTCTCCATTTGTCCCACAGGCATCTAAATCCAAGTCTTTCTAGTATATCTGTCTTTCTAGCTGCTGATTAGCTTGAGCAAAAGCATCACTCCAGACTATGGATATTAATGATGATTCTCGACATTACATTTAAAGGTGTCAGTTTTACAAACCTGAAGAAAGCAAACTCCATTTAAAAAGCCTTCTTAATATAACAAGGTTATCTGCTTCAAAGGAAACAGCCAAAAAAGAGGACACCCTCTCCTCCTCCCCCATTATTTAGCACCAGATCTCCCAGGAATCACCCATGAAGGATAAAGTACTCGGTCACTTACTACATTACTTCAACAGAAGAGAGGATTTCCAGATAAAACAGTGTCTTTCAAATACTACTGCAAAATGCATTTTGTTTCCAGTTTAAAGACAGTCATTTTGTTTTATTTTATTTTAGCCAACACACTGCCTGTGTTCTCAGTTCTCCCTTTGCCTGTTGCCAGACTTTTAGGCTTTGCAGCATTTGTCAGAGGACAGGTAATGCAGTTGAAAGCAAATCACCCAGCTCTTTCTATAGCTTCTGAAACCAACGAGTACAATGCTCACAATCTCCTTGCCGTACAGGTACTGGCAGTTAACAGCTGTACTAAAGTACATGCTGCTTGTAAATAACGTACATGGTACATAGCATGTACTTTTAAGCTGCATCTGACTCTGCAAATGACATGTCACATGCAGTGATGGGCACAAGCATACACATGCAGCACACGCACTGGCATTTAATGAAAGAAGAATTTCTTAGCACTTCAATGTTGGTTTAGTTTTATGGAAGCATGAGGGGGTGCCTTTCAGTTACCCTTACACTTGAGACATTAAATAGATTTTACTTCTGCAAGGCACCTGGCAAAGTTTAAAGTTGTTCTGTCCAGAACCTCTCCTTTTTACTCCCATAACTGGGGCACAGATGGGGATGTCTCTTCTGAAGGAGACAAAAATCCCAGAAACTTCCAGTAGTTCTTCCCCTGCTCTCCTCAGTGCAAGGTGAACTGAAAAGCAGCTGGATCTATTCTTCAGTAGTCAGCAAATGACTCTAGGAATAATCTTTTGATTTATTGCTTTTCCTTAAGGAATGGAAACTCCTGAAGATAACTAAAAATAATTATATCCAAGCGTGCAGTTTGTGAGACACATATGTGACCTTAATCCTACTTCAATTAATTAGTTTTCTGACCCACTCATCATCTTGTTTTTTAACAGCAGTAATGTGAACTTAGTTTTTAAACCTAAGTTTTAAGTTGAGGGACTCAGAGGGCAAAGAAGTTGAGGAAAAAAATATAACAGGGTCAAGATATAATCACCACCTATGTTTTTCATACTTTCATGAAGAGCAGCAGCTTGCAGAGACATTTGCAAAATTGACTTGATCAAAATTGCCTGTAAATAGGAAAACATAAATAAGGGAGGGAAATCCACTTGCATTACCCCAAAACCCCAACTTTTGGCTTAAGAGCTGTTTCAGAAATGTTCCGAATAGTCACAGCATCCCTGACAGATATATGTCTATTTGGATCACCGCAATGTTAGCCACAAGTAGCTTTAATTTTTATCTCAAAACATCCAAAGATAAATTAATGACTTCAACCAACATAAAGACTAGGCTGATGTACCGAGAAAAAAAACAAACAGGAATGAAACCTCCATTCGATGTTTACAGGTCTAAACAACTGCTCCTGAATATCATTTTTGCATGCAAAAACCAATACTGTTTGTGGGTTTGGGTTTTTCTAATTCGTTTTAAAACAGATTGCTGACATCAAAGTTGGTAAAATACCCAAGGAAAAGCAAGGTCAGAATTTGGAGTCATTTGTCAGGGCTTGCACGTACTGGTAAACTTCACTGGCCCTGACCAGCCGCAGCCAGGACCTCTACTATGGGCTCAAGAGCACCTAAGCCCAGCTCAAGGCCTTCAGTCCCTATTTAAGCTATGCCACTGTCATGCCTGTCTACAGCCCTGTCCCCTGAGCAGGCCTACAGGAGACTGTAGCTGCTTTGAGCTACATCATAGCCCTACTTTGAGTCCTGGCTCTGGATCCTTTCACCTCTGACTGGACTTCCTGGAGGGACCAGGTTCCTTGTTCACTGGGTCAGGGACAGCAGGCACAGCCTGGTTCTGGTGGTCAGACCAGTGTCCTGGTTGGTAAGTCTCTGCTGGGGCTGCCCTCACCTCCTGCCTCAGCCCTTCTTTTGTAGCAGTCCTGCTCTTGCTGCTCTCTGACACCAACCGTTAAGGTACAATGTACTCAAACTCAGATAAAGACCTGCTTCTCAGCTCAGTGAAGTTTATAAATACATAATCCTAATGGGGATACAGCACACATGGATATGTGGGACTTGGCAGAGTACATCTGACCAACATGACAGTTCCTTACCACTTCACGAAAGCAGGCACAGATACATTACTGGTTTGGTATATGCTCTAAGGTTGGGAAGGAGAGAAAGTCCCGAAGAACACAGTAGGTACAACAGATAGCTGTGAACTCACAGTCCCAGTGTAAAAGCTCTACTCTCCCTCTGCAATGCCAGTCAGTTCCAGAGAAAACACTAGGGTCACCATGCCCCCATTTACTACAAATAATTGCCAGCTATCCTGATACCAGTGCCTATGCTTCACGATCTGTCTGTAAGGTCTGGCAGCACGCTAAATGGACTAGATCTTATCTTTGTAACTAATCACCTCTGGGGCCAATAATACATTAATACGCAATATTAACAAGTAATAGGTAATATAACTACATAGCACTCCACACTACTTAGCTAAGGTGCAAATGCTTCCTGAACCATTGCTTATGAAATTCAGACAACAGAGCAGATTTTGAAAGCAAGAGTTCTTCAGTTCCCATTACTTTGCACACATACTTTACTGAATTTACTTCAGTTTCCCAACCAAAATCCCCCTTTACTTCAAGAGTACCACTGCAAAGGGAATAGTTAATAATTATCTTCAAATGTAAACTGGATGCCTTACATAGTATTGTATCTCAGAAACTTAAATCCATATTCTCCAACCACTTCACTGTGGCAGTTAAACCTGACTCCAAGGGTCCCTGTTGTTACGGGCTGATCCATTATTACTGGGTTGCTGCTGCTGCCACACAGTGCAAGTTCTTCAGCTATTTCCCTGGTTATTTAGGCAGGGCATTATTTCTAGTCAGGTGTAATACAGACATTTAAATGTAACTCATTTATAAGACCATTTGTCTGAAGTTTTCATACTGTCCTGTGAATTACCTCCCTAAGCGTTTAGCCACTGGAGTTTTTTTTACCATGCTTTCATTACCGTTCCATTTAAGTCACTGGGGAAAACTGTATTTGTGTGGGGAAAGCTGGTCCTAATTTAGCACTTACTAAGATTTCACAGTCTTATTTTCCATATACATGGTGACACTTTATTCCAATGCTCTTAACGAAAAACTGTTTAATATGTTATCCAGCATGAACAGGCAGGCTTAAACTCTGAAATTCACAAAGCTCAGTACATCCATATAAATAGAGATAGGGGAGTCCATCTAATGAAGTAAGAGCTCATCCCTATACCTCTCAAGTCTCTGCAGGAGAACTGGACCGAATTGGACACCAATGTCTGTACAGTACTCACTAACGTCGCTCTATATTAAAATGAATTAAAATACACTGAATGGTATTTAAACCCATTAATATTGTTCTGATGAGAATTTTATTTTAAGTGCATGTATCTGAGCAACAACATTCGTTCCAATTTTTATGCTTTGCAATACTGGCCAGTCATTGTTCCCATTGCACAATACACGGGCAAAGTACAAAAGTACATAAGACACACATGCATTATAGCCCAGGTTCCTCTCACCTAAACTCAGACATTAAAACCAAGAGATCCAAGTTAAGAACCTACTTGACCTATGAGCCTTCAGCATTCACTGGTGTAAGAGATATGCCTCCCCTGAGGATCATCATCAGCCCCTCACACTGACTTGAGAGACCAAGACAACCTGGGTGAACTCGAGTTTGTATAATGAAAAGTCCCACTTTTGTATACATTACTGACAGAGTGCCAGAAAGAATGAGTCATGTAATAAAAAACAATAAAGCATTTTAGGATCTCAGTAAAGCCTATTAAACTACTCAAGTTCTGCCTATGGAGATAATGTATTTCTACTCTTGTCCCTCCCCGGGTCCTTTCACATTTCGTTCAGAAAGACGAAAAGGAAAAAACAGCAGCAACAAAGCCCTAGACACTCTCGTCTCTCTCTGGGGCACACAGAATACCCTTACATGTTTTAAACCAAAATCAATTTAAAGACTAATTTTTTTCTCATTTGGAGCTTTACTGTGATCAACATATAACTTGAGCACTAAGTCCTTCAAGATAAATGTTCTAATTTTTTATTTAAAAGCCTTTCATAAAGCATTAGAAATCATCAACAGACATGCAGAAAACACTAATTTCAAAGAAATTGCAACAAGACTTTAGGAAAAACTACGCTGGGGCCTCTTCAAAGGAAGAGAAATATACCAAATGCGTTTCATATGAGAAATGCTTTCTTATTTATTCAACTTGTCATCTTATAGGTAGCCACTTCTCTTCTGAGGAACCCTTGCAAGTTTATATGAAGTCTCCCAGCTGCTTTCCGTCCTTGTTTTGGGGCAGCGATGCGAGAAAAGTTAATTTTTTGTCAATTAACTCAAAATCATGCATATATTCAGACATCTAAAACAAGAAACATACACACACCAGGGGGTAGACGAGCTCTCCCAAGGTTTGAGCAACCTTCCCCACTGCCTTCCTACAACACTCTGCATGTAGGCACAAAGTAGCTTCAAGTACTCAGACAAATTCTCTTTTCAGATCTACAAGGCCAGGGAGTCCCAAACTGCCCGCAGACCATCAGATTAGAGTACAAGGGCATGGGAACAGCTTTTTGCTGGTATGAAATGAGGCATGGACAAAGCCAGAAGATCCTCTTCTTTCCCCACTAGCTGCATCTCAAGTCCCTCAGAAACCTGGACCTTATATACGCTTTATGTCTAAGTTGGATCCACTACAGGAAAAAGCAGAGGCTCTCAACCTTAATATGGTATTGGAACTGTGGCTTGCTGCCCATTTTGCACTAATTTCATGTCTAATGTTAGGTGAAATATCTTCCCTATTTTTAGCAAAAGGAATCAGAGTCCAAGGAGTATTGGTATAAATGTGAGAAAAGCACTATATTACAGAATTCTAGTTGCCTAGAGATCATTATTAGCAAAAGCAGAATTTCCTTAGTCTTCGAAACTCCCACCAAACCACCTACATTACTGAAAACTACGCTTTTAGAGTTAGGTATCTACATTTCTTCTCCTCTTGCTCCCACATACTGCCCCCATACACTAAAGTTTCCTTTCCCACTCACTTCTCCTATCATCCATGAGAAATCAAACAATCACACTAGTCTGAACACGGTGTCCTCTAAAACAGCATGAAGGAAAGTTTACATCTCTCTAAAACTGTTCACACTGTGTATCTGTTTCCACTCAGGTCACGTTTCAGAGATTTTTCTCAAGACCCTGGAAAATGACAAGCTAGGTTTCATGTTTAAATTAAGCCTGAAACACAATAGATGCTGATAGTGCCATGCAGCGTTCTGTGGAGAATGAGGTGGTTACATGCTTGATACCTTATTTCAAGGGGCTGATAAATCTCCCCTTATTCAAGTTGTTCTCATGATAAACCTCAACTCCCATCTCACCAATGCATTATTATTGCACATGCAAACCCGTGAGAAACACAAGACACTGCCACCAGCATGAGGTAACTATGCAAATACCATTTGTGTAACTCTGAGGTACCCATAGCCTGGCATGCAAATCCAGACTCCTAGACTAATTCAGCTGAAAGAAGCAAAATATATGCCACTTTCTGAAGGTCAGTGAATACATGGCATGTTGTTTATTTTTAATTTATTTGTAACAGAATTAGAATATTAGCAGTTTCTCTTGAAATCTGAACTTGGAATGCCAAAGACCTTTCTCTGGAGAAAGCTCCCAGGACAGCATCTTTGTTCAGTGGCCGTATAACAGGAGTACATGCTTTCCTCAGCTTAGCGGACACAGGTCTCTAAGAGATCACTTGGGTCATTTCATCCCACCGACTTTGCTGACAAACATATAATAGGTGTCCAGTTTCAAAGGGCTCACACAACATCTACTCCACAAGTCCCTTCTCTTTCTCCTCCCTTCCAACCCCTTGTCGCAGATCAAAAGCATTTTGCAATAACCCATAAAAAACCCCTCAAGACTATAGTTTCCGCATTCAGCCTTTTACCATAACACACATGGGGGATTAAAAAAAAAAAGAAAAAAGAAAAAGATACGGCTGAGGTTTCCTAAGGTTCAAAAAAACTTCCCTACTGCCTGTCTGCAGAGATGGAGAGGGCTGCCACTATCTTGTGTCTGCAGAATTTGTTCAACAGAAGTGCAAGGTGAAGTGGATCCTATAAGAAGAAAGAGGTAAGTTTTCTTCTGATCTGTTTGGTATTAATTTGCTGTTAATAACCATGCTGAATACTGCTTAATGAAGTTGTTATACATTCACCTAGCAGCATAATTCTGTTGGAAACAGCAACTGACTACAGTTTTCACCCTGAAAGGAGCACTGTATTAAAAGTTTCAAGTAGATGTACATTTGAAGATGATTAAACCTAGTATCTATTTTGAAGCTCCTGCAAAGCCTCAACAGTGCACACAGGTGGCTGCCTTCAAGACTGGTTTTACAGACATCTTTTGTCATTAAACCAGCCCTTCCACGCAGCTCCTGCAATTACTTTTGTGTAGCCCAGTCCTGGATCAGTGAAGCATATAACTTCTGGAAGCCACCTGAAACACAGTAATCTCAAAGTTCTTCAGAAAAAAAAATAATCATGTGATGTGGCCCAGATCTTCCTACAGAAGGGCCAAGGACAGAAAGGAGTGCTGTGTGGCAGCAGCCAGGCTCAAACCCCAAGAAACAGCATGCAACATAACAGGTATGAAAGCAGCGTTCAATTCTCTACCCTACAACCGTGCCTTTATTAGGCATGTGATCTAGTACCTTCTTAACTAGGGTCCAAATCAGACTTTTCCTCTCCCCTCCTACTTAAAGACAAGCTGTGTAACTTTGTTTAGAATTCCATTATTTATTTTTCAATACACTAACCAGACTTGCACTGTGTATCCTGCTACTGAACATTGACTCTTCCACTCTCCAAGCCACCAGAAAGGCTGCACGTGTACTAATAAACTCTGAAAAGCATTTGAAGTTTGTCATAAAAAGGCAACCTACAGGAGATCCTTTAGAAAATAAGCTTGTTTTCTTTTTATTTGCTTTCTGAGCCTTTACTATTCACATCCTCAACCATTCTAAATTCACTATATTAGACAGGCTTTAAAAATGAAATAAAGCGTTTGCAAGAGCAAATCTACTGCCGAGTCTACCAAGGTAAAGTTCTGTGTTCTTTTTCAAGGCTTTCAGCTAAAAATACCTTTAAAACAGTATTTATTTCTGGATTTTAGATGGCAAACACTTATTTTTCCTTCCTTTGTAGATACAAAAGGAAACAGAAAGAAAAAAACCGAACAACAAAACCCAAAACAAAACAAACGAACAAACCTACAGACAACACAGCTGGCTAATTTAATAGTCCAGCCCCAGCTAAATGCAAAATGTAAATAAACACAAGCGTCAGAAACATCCTATTTTACAGTCCGCGTGATTAACCATTGCAGGTAACACCAGCCAACAACACCCCGCACCCGAACATCTTCTTCACACCAGGGGACCGCTTTGTTTCTCTAGTTCGGGGATGCTGCACCGCTCTACTCCAAAAGAGGCAGCACCAGCCCCGCTCGCACCGCTGCAGGGCAGCGCAGCGCAGGGCAGGGCGGGCTGCATCGGGGCAGCTCCAGCCACCATCCCCCTCCAGAGAAGAGGGGGCATCCCGGGGCGCCCACCGCATTTGGTTGTTTATCCGGTCGCTCCCACGCAGGCTACCGTGCTTGCCTTTGTTTCCCTTCCTCCTCTCGCCTGCACCTATCGCCATCGAAAGAGAGGGGGTAAAAGAGAGGAAAAAGGACTCACACCCCACACCCCCGGCGAACACTGTCCTCCTCCCCGAGAAGTCCCCGCAGCCAGCAGTGAAGTCCCACCGCCTGTGGCCGGTGAGGGGAGCCCACCCGCTCTCCCTCCCTCCTGCCCGGAGGCTCGCCTGTCCGCAGGGGAGCACTGCCTCCGGCATGATGGTGGCGTTCCCCAGGGGCGGGCGGTGCGGTGCTGCCCGCCCGCCTCCACTCACCTCAGCGCCCTGCCTGCAGAACCAGGTGGCAACTGCCGCCGGCGCTCCTCTGCTCGCCCGAGAGAGTGGGGCAGCGCCTCCCTCCGGGGGTGGCGGGGTGACGGGGAGGTGCCGTGGGGCCCCGCCCGCAGCCGGGAGAGGGAGGTGGTGAGGGGCTGCCTTTTGTCAGGGCCCAGTTCCTCTCCCCGGCACCGGCACTCAACACGCCCCCACCCCCGGGGGTGCTCCCGGGAGAAGCGGCCGGAGGCTCTTTGTGTGGCGAGGAGGGCAGCGCTCCTCCCCGCCCCGGGCCCGCCGGCCGCCCTTCCCTCCGGCACCTGTAACTCCTCTCCCGGCAGCAAACCCCAGGCGGGAAGAGGGGGCACCTGCGAGGGCTCCCACCGCCCCGCGCCCCTCGTTGTGACCCTCGAGGCCGTTGGGACCCCGCTGAGGCGGGGCCGGCGGCAGCGCGTCGGTGATCGCTGCGCCGAGGCGGTCCGGTAACGGTTGGTTTTGGAGGGAGGGTTTTTAAACTGAGGGCTCAACCGTGCTGAGTCCTGCCCAGGCACCCACAGTGTCGGAGTTGGGCTCTTCACGTGCCTCTTCCTAGGGAAAGCGGTCGTTTCCAAGGAAAGTAGTTACTACCCCTAGGAGCATCGCTTTGTCTTTGGGAACTACGATCAGAGCACAGATGTACGACCTGGCCAAAGTTTTTCAGCCGCGATTCTGACGTTTCCTGGTATTTCAGTGTTCAGCTTCCAGCACTGTACTTTGCCTTTATCCCTGTACGTGAAGATAGCCGCTTTTGGTGTTTGCATCTTAATCAGACAACTGAGCAGCTGGAATTGGATTCGGTTTTGCATTATGAAAAGAAAAAGAAAACAAAAAAAGCCACAAACCAACCAACAGCATGAATTTGTTTTCTTATTTGGGTATCCCAAACTATAAAAACTTTACCTATAAGCAAAATAGTGATGATGTATCAACACGTGGAGGATGGGAGCTGCAGAGAAAGCGAGTGCCTCAGGGGAAGCACCCAAGATGTGTGCATAGCTCTGAGATACACTTCCCAGTGCCTTCTCTCAGGCAGTCAGCAGTCTTCCACACTACTCTCCGCATTTTTGTTGCTGCAACAGTGATGGTTTACATTCCTCATAACCGAACCACAGGTTTCGGAAACTAATTTCCCAGGAAGAGTGTTCCAGGACTAAGGGCAAGGGAGGGTTACCATTTACTTCTCGTACTTTCTTGAGTGAGATGCATTTGGTTTTCAGAAATTCATCAGATGACAGAGATATGCTGTGTACAGCTGTTGTCTTAGCCTGAAATGCTCTTTCTTAAAACGTGGTGACCCACGGTAGAGTCAGGAAATGGCTTAAAGAAACAAGGTTTCAGTGTCCAGTGGCTTCTTACAGCAGCTTAACCCAAAATGGGGGTCAGACAGAACCTGAGATGCAAGGAGGTAATCGAGTAGCCTTAGCAGTAACCATGCTGCACGAGATACCTCATGCCACAGTGTGCAATGGGAAAAGTTGATCCTACAACACTTCACTGCAGAACAGGGGATTCCGTGGAGAGAAAGTGCAGATTCAGATAGGTCACTGTTTATTTTATTATTTGTTTTCAGTACCTCACAAGGATGTTTTCAGTGTTGGTTGAAAAGATCTGATTGGTTGGCCAGGGAAAAGGGACAATTAATGACATGAAAGAGCAGATGGGACGCTTTAATTTGGAGATACTGTCAAAAATAGCTTTGAAAGAAGAGCCTGTGAAGCACAGGGGAGACGTCAATAAAACTTACAATTTAGATTTCAGTTCTGTTTAGCGTTACAGGCACTTTTTGATCTCTAGCCCTACAGCTACCCCTATAGCAGTGGACTTAACAGGGATAGGGTTCAGGCTTAAACCATGGCACATGGTCATCCTCTACACTGTTTCCTTGGTGGCAGTGTCCCCAGCGTGGTTCCATCCTACCAAACTAGCAGTCTCTGAAGCAATTCCCAGTGCAGCTCATGGTTTGGGATGGGCCAGGGGCTGTTCCCAGCAGACCATCTGCATGCAGCTGACCTATTTCAGGAGACAAGAGAGTTTAGTTGTGCATATGCAAGCCATGCTGTGCCAGCTGGTTCCTGTGCCAAAGGACAGTGCTTGACCTGCTTTATTTGCAAGTAGAAACATGAAGGGTTTGACTTGGGTGATCCCCACTGAGTTCTGTGTCAAATCAGAACCTCACCACTGGCTGATTTCAAGCAATGAGAGGTCAGGTCGGGCAGAAAGATCTGAGTCTTCTTCGATCAAGCAGGATTTCTGCAGAGATCTCTGCACAAAAGAAGGCACAGTTCCTTTGGCCAGTAGTGTCGGAATTGATGGAAAGATCTATATCATTATGAATAACCTTTCTTTTGTTTCCTCAGAAAGGTTATTTCTTCTGCATTAAATGAAATATAATATTGGCTTTGATATGAATGCTGTATTCCATGGAAAATACTCTTTTGTTTCTGGCCTTGCGAAGAAGCAGGAGTGAATTTCAGCAAGGAAGCAGTTAAGTTTGAAGCAAATGTCAAGCACAGATGGCATTTAGAAGTTCTGAAGAAATTAATAACTAAAGTAAGTAAGCCACTAGAGCAAATGTGTGCTTTTTCATTACAACAGCTGAAGGTAAAAGTGGGTTGGAATGAGGTTGAGTCAACTTAAGGTATACATCCTAAATAGGGGTCGGATGGGATTCCTAGGAATTGTAAGCCAATGACACATTATGGCTCTTACAAAAATTGTATATGGAGTACCTCTGTCAAACATATGTACCTTCTATTCCTGGTGCCCTGACAAATGTGCAAGTGCTATAAATAAATATGGGGTGAGTTTTGTTGATTTTAATTTTTTTAATTTTTTTTTTTTTAAACCAGCTCAAAACAAAGCTGGGAAGAGAAATCCCAGAAAGATCTAACAAATGCTGAGGTGCTGGATGTGCTCATCTATTGCACAGATGTTGCAGACTGTGAATGGACAAACTCTTCACTCGCTGGCATAGCTGTGCTTTGGGAGTCAGGTTGAGTACTTGCAGTGAAGGGCCGTTAGTTCAGGAGTTCACTTTTCCCTGTCTAGTGCCCCAGGCCTGTTGCCAGATTTCTCTGAAGAACACTCTAGGATGCATCTAAATTGTAAGGAGTAAGAAGAGGTGTACAAAGCTATCTAGATAATACCTCTGTTTAGAGAAGACTGAGAGGGGGTCTCATGAATGCATATCAATATCTCAAAGGCAGATGCCAGAGGGTGGTGCCAGACTCTTTTCAGTGGTGTCCAGTGAGAGGATGAGGAGCAATGGCCATAAACTAAAATACAAGAAGTTTCACATCAACGTGAGAAAGAACTTCTTTACATTGAGGATGGCAGAGCACTGGAGCAGGCTGCCCAGGAGGTTGTGGAGTCTCCCTCTGGAGACATTCAAAACCTGCATGGATGCGTTCCTATGTAACCTGCTCTGCCTTGTCAGGGAAGGTGGACTAGATGATCTCCAGAGGTTCCTTACAGACCTAATCATTCTGTGATTCTGTGAATGAGGCATCATTCTTATGTGTGCTGTGTGGTCTGGTGTGATTCTACAT